GGTTGTGTGACAGGCTGGGCTTCTCCTAGTCCCTGCAGTGTGCATATCACAGACACCGCTATTTGAAAATCCAGCTATAATGTAACATGACTGTTATCTGTAGGTGGATCTTTAGACCCTTCCTTTATTTCATGGTTGAGCTGTTCTCTGCTCCCTCACACCAATAGCTGTGCTTCTGACGGAATGGTTCTCCTATGACTTAACCAAAGCGATTACCTCTTCTCCTCTGGGCTGCCGTGCTCTGTGCTTGCCCACATGTTGGGGATTATTTTCGTAGTGCCCTAACTTGCCACAGGACCAAACCCCTGCCTGCTCTGTGATAGCAGTGACTGCATTGCAGTAAAGCACTGAGGGTGGGTGCAGATGATAGCAGTTTCATTTTTATAAGCATACGTGTAACAAGTGGCTGATACTCCAGCATCTTGGTGTCCAGAAATCCCAAGATTTCTCTGCGGAGTTGGCTACTCTGCCCTGACTCAAGCACTGTACTGTTCAACTACTTCCTAGTCACTGATTTGAAATGACTGTGCTTACTGATGTTTTACGTGATACTACTGTATAACTCTTTGTTGCAAACCTGCAGCATAGCTGATCTGCTGGCACCTGGTGCCTGAAACACACAGCTCTCGCTGGGCTTCCTTCTACCCTGCGAGCAGTCGGGCTGCGGGACACGGGCTGCTCAGACAAGATGCCCCTGTTGAGGTGGAAGCTCCCAGCCCTTAGGTTGGTGCTCCAGGAAGAGGAGGAGCAGGAGCTCTTCTGTGACATGAGCTCTTGCATGTTATGTGGCTTCTGAACCAACCGCAAGCAGCAGCGAAAACTCCTGCTCTCAATTCTGCACCTGGGTCAGCTGCGCTTCAGCCCTGCCACGCTGTGCCAGCAGGTGCTGGGGCTGCTGTCTGAGTGCTTCTGCAGCCTCCGGCAGGTCCCAATGGGGGTCAGGTGTGGGGCTGGGATCCTCAGCAGAGCCCCGAGGGTGCTGCTGTGCCTGTGCCAAGGGTCACAGGTACAGGATGGCTGGAGGAGAGCGGCCGTCCTACTAACTGTGTGCATCACTCCTGAAATGTCTGCAGCTGACATGAGTTCACTTGCACGCCTTTGCTCTCTCTCAGTGTAGGCCTCTCTCTGTTCTCCTGATTCAGCAGTCTGCTTGCACAGCCAAGAAATCCTGGTGTTCTCAGCGTGTTCTGCAGCCCACTTAAGTGCAGTGCCTTCTCTCTGTGTTTTCAGCATAGCTGCTTCTTCAGCAAGAAACCAGAGCCGGGCTGCTCCTCCGCGGCCCCTGCCCAGCAGGTGGGAGTAAAGGAAGCGCTGTGCACAGAGCAGCAGTTCTGTCACGGATCCTGCTTCTAGGAGCGTGTGAATCCACTGGCTGCAGTTCAGATGTGTACACTGTCAATAGCCTCTCTTCCTGACCTTATGATTAATTTATAACTCATGTTCCGGGTTGTCAGGCTATTGTACCTCACCCTCCCAAACCTGATGGCAGAGCATCAAGATCTGTACCACCCTAGAGAAGTAACTGGACACCTGTACCTTGATTTTTTTTTCCCCTCATTTTTAACTTGGGGACAGTGCTGGGTGATGAGAATATTGAGACTAATTCCTTGCAGACAGGATGCAGTGTTACAGCGCTTGCCATGTATAACCTGTGGTACAGTCTCTGCTCCCTTCTTACATCTCTTCACACACGACTGCTGAAGAAGCAGCAAGCCCCTCCGCGGTACAGCTGCGATACGGCTTGTGGTGGTTAGCTTTTCCAGCCCGCCATAGTGTAATGCACTGCTGCAGGCACCCTTCATTCTTTCCTCTGAGCTTTTAGCAGTTCTCAACAAAGTAAGATGAAATGTCTATTGAACTGCTGGTATTTTGTCTCCACTCTTGTTGTTCCTCCTGCTGTTATTGCAGACTCCGAGGATAACGTGTGCTGGAGGCGCTGTGGGTTAACCGGGTGATTAGCTCGGCAAGAATGGTATTTGAGTTGTTGTAAAGCAGAGTGCTGCTTAGATATCTTCCCCCTGAATCAAGGCTGTTTGCTCTTTCAGCTGCTAGATGCAGATCCAAAAGCTATTGTGCTCCACCCTGTCTCGCTGTAGCCTACATGTGTGGTCTGAAATAAAACAAGCATACTGAATGTGCTGGTTCGGAAATCTAAGCTGTGTGCACCACAGTAAGGTGAGACAGAAAAATATCTTCTGTATACAGAAAGTATCTCCTGCTGTAGAGTTTGGGCCGATGGGACTGAATCCAGATGGATTCAGCAGTGAGGATCTATTTTCAACGTGGAAAGAAATCGTTTGGGTGTAGCAGGTGCTGCAACAGTTGATCCTGATTTTTTTTCTGCATTTTTAAAAAATGACAGGGGTGGCAAAAGGCATGTAGAAGTGAGGAATTAGCTAAGCAAAAGGTAACCACAAGGAGGGGTACATCTGTACTGCATGCGCTGTAGGAAACTGCTGTGTCCTGAAGCTTAAGAGCACGTGATCAATAGTAACAGAACAGCCTGGTCTTCATCTGTGCTCTGAAAAAATGCCTGCTCTTTAGCAATCCTGCTAATGTTAAAGAACCTCACCAAGCTGGGCTCTGGAGGCAGCTGACCTCAGTGCCCTGATGGAGCAGGAGGGTCAGGTGAAGCCCAGACCATGGCCAACGTAAATAAGCTGTGGGACTTCAGGGAAAGATGCACATTGAATTATGTCCAGAGAAAAACCCACCAGATTGTTTTGAGTTTGTGAGAGGGGGAGGAGTAACAGGATGCCCTGCAGTCAGAGCAAGGTGAACTGGTATGCCAACAACTCTTGATTTGGATTACAAGTAAGTTGGAAGTGCTCTGCCTAGCTGTGTAGCAGGCAGAGGTGTACCTGCCCATCACAGAAAGCCTCAGTCCTGTAACTGAGAAGCTGTGCTGGGAAAAGTCTGCAGAGAACCAAATGCTGGCCGGTGGAGGAGAAAGCCAGGAGCTCTGCTAGCTTCACAGCCCTCTGAAGAAGAGTTGGTAATGCAGTTGGAGCAAAACAACCCTCCTGCATGGCACCTGGCCTTGCAGCTCCCTGCTGCTGGTGCAAAGGCTGCTACAATGGGTGACCTCCCTAAACACCCTGGCTCTGGTAAACATCACTGGGGGGAACTGCAGAACGGCATTCCGGCCCTTCTGAGGTGGCCCTGTGACTGCCTTGGTTTATGTGGATGGCTGTGGGCAGTTATCAGGCTTCTGGGAAGTGAACTGCGAGGCGTGCCAACTGTAAGTGAGTGTGCCTTGTGCTCTGAGTCAAAGGGAGTAGGGCATTGCTAACTAAGCTGCTTTGAACACACCATCGTTGTGGTTCTGTTGCTGTGACTCATTTAACAAATGACTGCAAGTTCTGTGTGTAGCACTTGAATTGGCATGAGGTTTGTTTGATATCTGGGGAATTTGCACTGGGGTCAGACAGTATCAATTCCCAGGTGTATATATAAAGGATTTGACTTCTAACCAGTAGCTGTGCTGCAATCTGGGTAGTGCTTCTGCTGTTTGCTTTTTGTAACCAGAGCTGCAGGTAAGAGGTGTGTGCTGCCTCGCCCTTTGAGAGTGTTAGTGCTGACCCCACAGGGAATCACCAGGTGTGCTTGTGTTCACCAGGTGGGCAGCGAACAGCCAGCTCTTGCTGTTCATGTGCTAACCTGAAAGGACAGCACTGCAGTGAAACAGAATCCTGATTCGTAATCTGGTTGTTCTTCAAATGTGGGCCCCATTCAGGCAGTTAATCTTTATCCAAACCTTCTCGGAGCAAGACGTGCAGGCTCGCAGTGCTGCCTCTGGATCCTTGTGTTCGTTAGAGGGCAGCATCTGATCATCTTCAGTCCCTCAGGCTTGGAGGTCCCAGGGCAGTGTCACTCTCTGTGCTGTGTTGCTATGTTTCCCCAGCCTCCCCATTAAAAGTAAGGACATCTTCTCTGAATATTCTTCCTCAAAAGTGTCGTGAGCCTGGCAGGAGGGCTGATGCAGGAGGGCATCTCAAACTGTGCCAGAGACTTTGTAGCTCCAGGTCTTGGGAACCTGAGGGTTTCTTCTACAGATGAAGAATGATAGGGTGCCTGTTAAACACCATCCAGCAGATCGGTGACTGACTGGGAAATGTACTGCTGTTCTGATCAAATAGCATCTAATATCCTTACTCCTAAAGGTCAGTGTTACTCAGACACCTGGGTGAGAGATTGTCCAGAACAGGAAGGCAAAAATGTGACTTTGTTTGCCAGAACTGAAAATCTCCTTTACTTGACCACAGTTCTAAAATTCTCATGGTTGGCATCTAGAAAAATCTTGTTGCAGCAACCTCTGTTGGATGGTGTATCTGAGTTCATATGGACACATCACAAGTGTAGGCTGCCCTTGCACAGAATCGTCAGATTGGTTTCCAGGGCCTCTGCCTGTAGCATTGTGAGTGACATGGTCACAGCGCTGTATGACATTCCAGTCTTATTTAGTCAACAGTCTTGCTGTACCAAGGAGTGGTTTCTTAATTGGTGCTTACGTAGAGTTACTGGAGTTCAGTGTTCCTTGCTTACAGACGTAAGGGACCCAGGGAGAGGAAGGGTCTGCAGATAGAAATATCTCTTGGGGTAGCTTTAACAGATGTTCTGTAGCCAAGTAATCCCTTAAACACCATGAAAGAAGATGGGCACGTACAGGGAGAAGGTGCGTCTAAAATAAGATCTAAGTGAATCAATTTAATTTTATTAGTATTTTGTGTACCAGCAATTGCAAAGATTTCCAAGCTGTTCTGTAGAGGAGTGGTCAAATACAAAGTCTTGGTGTAGCTGTAGTGAAGATTGTCCAAATAGTGTCTCATTAACCATTACTGCTAGCTGGCTGATCCTAGTCAGATAAAAGTTCACAGCCACATGAGATCTGCCCAAAGTTAGAGGTAGGTAAGCAAATAAACTTCTAAAATGAATAGAAAATGTGAATGCTAGTGAAAAATGCTTTTGTGTATCTAACTGTATGTGTCTCTTCATTCAAGTTGCAGGAGTTATTACTGCTGACTTCCTATCAGGATTATTTCACTGGGGAGCAGATACCTGGGGATCTGTGGAGCTACCAATAGTCGGAAAGGTTTGAGATTCTTATCCTTAAGCTTGAAAAAAAATTAATGACATGCTTTTCTGAAACTATTATAGTGTTCTCAGCTGTTAGACAGGTACTTTTCCTGTAGTCTTGCCAGTGTAACCAGCTCTTCCACCCAGTACCCTCCTCCTCTTAAGTGGCACTTGGTACAGTGCTCCCAGGGCTGTGTTTACACTTGACCTAGGTGACATGTGCAAGGTGACACTGTTCCGTTTATCGCCCCGATTAGGGTTTGCTCACAGTTTTGCAATACCAGTGTTCACAGGCCTTCCCAAAGGACGGTGGGCATGGCCAGTTGCACACCAGCGTAGAAACCTCACCAGAGACAAGACTTGTGTAGAGCTTCGGAAAGGCTAATAAATGCCAAGAAGTGCAGAATTTACCTGGCCTGCTTCATCGGGAGTCTATTCCTGGAGCTAAATTCTCTAAAATCTCTGTTGAAAATACAAAGAAGCTTTAGCAAGAAACTTTCTAGTTCTGTGTGCACCTGCACCTTGTTGTGAATGTAATAGTGTTAGAATGGTGATGACTGAATATTGAGATTTCAGGTGTATTATACATCTGTGGCTACAAATGCTGGATGCTTAGACGACATTGCACTGACTTCTATAATAAGCTGCAATCTGTTTTTTAATAAACTTCTTTATAGCTACTATTAATTACTCCTCACAGTGCAATATTAGGAGGATCTCTGTTTTCAAAAAATATATGGGATATTCCTTATAATTATGCAGAAACGAGTGAACCAGCTCAGCAAAATTAAGTCTGTTGGGTTTAGGTTTATTTTTGTTTACCTTTAGTAGATTTGGTAGTCCTTGAATGTCTGTATCTGTGGACCATAGTTCAAGGGGGAAAAAAAAAGCACTACAGGAAGCTATGCACTAAATAAACAACAGAGTTCAGCTTGCTCAGGATACCTTTGCGTAGACTGTACATGATGCATGTGTTGAAGGCAAATAACTACGCATACTTTACTGTCCCTTGCCTACTTAACAGATTTGCTCTTTCCTCTCTGAGATTGTATAATTCAGGTGCTATTTCTAGTTTTTCTATTTTTCATTCCCGTGATAACTCCTGAGTTACGGTGTCATGTTTATCAATTTGTTTTCTCAGGCTTTCATTAGACCCTTCAGAGAACATCATATTGACCCTACAGCAATTACCAGGCATGATTTCATAGAGACCAACGGAGACAACTGCTTTATGACGCTAGTCCCATTGGCAAACATGGCATACAAATTTGTTTCTTTTTCCCCAGGTAAGCTGTTACTCATAACTTCTGTGAATTTAGGATTTTTTGATATATAAATGAGCAGCTCTTAATATGAGGATAAAAGAAGCCAATGTATGGGAAATGACTAGTGCTAGCTCTTGGAAATGTGATGCTCCCTGGTGGAGGGAAGGGAAACTTTTTCTTGAAAGGGAAGCAAACTGTTTCTTCTAGCCCAGTCTGGCTGAGGAATCTTTTAAGGAAGCATTAGAAGTAAATGTACTTTCTACAAAAGGAATCAAACTGCACGCAAGGAAATTCATTGTTCTAAACGTTATAAAAATGCTTCATCTGTGCATAAATAACTTTATTTGCTCACCGGAAGGGCAAGAATTAAAGGGTGAATTTAAATTTATGGATAGGAAATTCAGACTTTAGCTTCCTGTTTGTGGTGAGTTGGCAGATGTTGGTGCATCCTGGTCTGTCTTGTGACATTCTGAAGTTGCTTATGTTGCACTGCTCTTGTGACACTTTTGATAAACCAACTTCGTTGAGGCCCTTGTTAGTTCCTGTAGCAGCAGCCAGGTCTGGCTTGGCAAAACAATGCATTGGGTTTTTTTTGTTTTTTTTTAGTAGAAATTCACATTTTTGTAAGAAGTACTTAAAGATACAAACCTTGTTTTGCAGAAGCATTATATGAAACATGTCCTTGGGAGTGTTATGTCTTTGCCCTCATCATCTTCATCACCATGACGAACCAGATTCACAAGTGGTCTCACACGTACTTTGGTCTTCCACGCTGGGTCATATTTCTACAGGACTGGCATATTATCCTGCCACGGAAACACCACAGGATCCACCATGTGTCGCCTCATGAGACGTACTTCTGCATTACAACCGGTACTGTCATCAGGTTCATAGCTTTTCTTAATAGTCTAGTACCATTCACCTGGCAAGATGTGATTTAGTGACAGTCTATTAAATACAGAAAGACACTGAGACATTGTGAAGCTAACTGTACTCTTAAGTTTTGCTAAAGTTATATAAAGCTATAGTTTTTGCATTAAAAACGTGTGAGGAAAATTCCCAACTAGGCACAGGGTAACTTTCAGTGGGGTAGGCAGTGGTACTGAGGTCTAATTGCTTTCTATCTTGGGAATCTTATGCTAGCGATGCATTTTGCTCATTAAAGTGTTAAAGCAGGTGGTGGGCCTTACACAAGGAGCATCATAGGACTTGCAAGTGTGGCTTACCTTGAATGCTTGCTTCTAAGGCAAAAGCTTCTGGACTTCTAGCATTCATTCATTGTGATTTGGGGCAGAGGAGAAGACAGACTTGAAGAGTATAAGACAGACTTGGAGGAAACCAGCTTTAGGTTCTTCTTATGTCTATACTTGATTTTACACCCACTGTACAGGCTGGGGTACTCAGTCACCAGTGTTGCACAATCCTGAATAAGTTATCATGTTAATTGAATGACTCGATATAAGCTGCTCTGGTTCTAGATTCTATCATTGGCTTTGGCAAACAGTTTGTCAGTTCTGAAATCTCTACCAAGAAACCAATCTAGTTCTTACAGCCATAATGTCATGTAAAAGCACTGTACAATTAAGTCTGACTTGACAGATCATGGCAAAAATCTTGTCACTGTAAGAGCTTTTTTCCAGTTCTCCTGTTCTGAAGTGGTCCAGGTAGAACACTGCAAGTTGATGCTTGACCATTTAGTGTTACTCTTTAGTTGCTTTTGTGTTCTTACCTACAAAAAGAAGTTCTGTTCAGTCAGTGCTTTCTGCAAGTGTCCATATCATGCTGATCTGCCATAAGATGGCACGACAGGTTGTATGCTTGCAGTCTTCCAGTGGAGCAATGTGTCTGCAGCCCTAGTTCTTCCAGGGCAGAAGCGAGGGGGAGGACAAATATGCAAGCATGTGCTATTTAAAATCGGGTCTTTGCTTCATAAAACATGGCCATTAACTGTAATGCACCTGTTAGTGGCTAAGTGCAGAGCACATCTAAGAGAAGACTGCCAAGCCCAATGAGTGTACTTGGTGTCAGAGCTGACCTGTGCATGTAAAGGTCTGCTACTGCCAGGGAAGGGGTCAGGTAACAGAACTATTTGGTGATCCAACTGCTAAAGCGTTTGGACTGCCTCCCATTTTTAGACACTGGCAAGAAGGAGCCTGCACCTTGAGGGTCTGTGCCTGTGCTAATGAGAATTACATGAAACGACTTCCTAAAAGGCATCAGCATAGAGTGAGTTGAGCAGGGCTGCAGTAACACGTGCACAAGGAAAAGTCATATGCAGCTACAGGATGTGGCTGAAAACAGCACCTGTTCTGATGGATCGTTAAGGCTATAATTATGTCTGGTTGGGAAGGATAGCTGTATAGAAATAGGTTGCTTTTCAGCAGTGGATATCCTGAATGTTCTTTCATTTTAGTGTTTATCAGATAAGTGCGTAGTCCAAGGCTTCAGCAAGACACACGCATTCCTGCTGCTGCCAGTGTCCGTGCTGCACGAGTGCTGCTTGGGTCTGACAGAGCTGGTTCTGCAGCAGCTTTTCTGCATCTCAAACTTGCTCATAGTACCCTGCATTTGAGCTATCTCCTTCCTCTAGCGTGAACTGCCACTGCTAGCTCACTGTTTCCATTGTGGTAACAACAGCTCCTTCATTCCTGCCTTGCCTTTGCTTTTTTTCTTTTTTCCAGGACTGTATATGAAATAAAGTATAATGTGTGTATTTACAGAGCAGCTCTGTAAGGGTGGGATAACAGAACCCAATGTATATCCATTTCTTCCTGGCTGTAGAGAAATGTCTACAGGAGAATAATACTTCCCAGTGCTGATTTTTTTTTGTAGCCATTGCAATATTTAATAAGAGGCCTAAAGTTACTATAATAATACATTGTAATAAAACCCTGTGAAGTTGCTTCTTTGTGCACTCTGCAGCCAATTATTTGTGGTTAGGTTGTCTTCAAAACACAGTATCAGAAAAGCCAGTTAGCTAATGTACTAATTAATATCCCAAAAGTGAGATGTAAAGCCCTTCTGAATTCAGCGTGAGGCCTATTAAGCCTGTATGACTTCCAGCCTTCCAGTCTGTATAACAAAACGCTTCTACAGAGCATTCAAAATATACTGAATTTGTAGGCTAGGAGAGCTACATTTAAACTCTTGCTGCATGGAACAGAGGATGATGTTTACTGTTATTTTTACATAAAATGGTAGAAACCTGTCCCGTATCAACTGTTAAGAGAGACTGTTACAGGGAAGCAGAAGTGGTAGCTGAGCTGCACGCTTTCAGGCGTGTGCTGCTAGCAGGGCTGCCCTCTTAATTCAGGAAACGTCCACCTTCAGTGTCATTAAGTGCAGCATGGTACTACAGCAAGACCTCCCCATCACAGGCTTCATTAGCAATCATTTAAGCAGACTTAAAAAGTACTGTGCCCTCTCTTGGTAAAACTAAAGTATGAAAATTTTAAAATAGAAAACTGATATTGGAACTGTCAAAACTTGAGGTTTTATTTAACGAAGAAGTTGGTTTACTTCACTGAGCCTTATTGTTTAGGTTGCAAACTGCAACCTCAGTTTTTCTAGGAAGTGTAGCATTGATAATGTACTTCAGTACTATGTTGTGCACTTTTTTTCCTGCTGTACTAGTTAATGAGAAACATGGGGAAAAGCCAAGCTGGCTTTGGTGACTGGGGGGGGGAATAGCTAAAATTGTTGGGTTGGTTTTTTTGTTTGAATTTCAACACTAAATCTAAGGTGCTACTGATATAACTATCTTGTTTGTAACACATCCCTTCAACTTGGTTTCTTCTCTGACAGCTGTTCAATGGCTGTAGAGTAGTCCCCTTAACTAGCCACACTTCTATTGTGTTTAAAATAAAGAATATTAAATATTGCAATACATTGAACTTTGGATGCTATGATGAACTAATCTTTTTTTCCCTTTGATATCATTTAGGTTGGCTGAACTATCCGTTAGAGAAGATAGGATTCTGGAGATGTTTGGAGAACATTATCCAAGGACTTACGGGGGAGAAGCCAAGAGCAGATGACATGAAATGGGCTCAGAAAATTAAATGACTTTTGCCAGCCTTCTGCAGTCCTTATCTTTGTTGCCAATGTTTTTTGTTTTTTTTAAAAGCCATCAGCCAAACTCAAGACCTGCAAAGAAATAAGACTCTAAAGCACAAACTAAAAAGTGCTAACAGACTGTAATTAAAAGAACTAATTCTTAAAACAATACTTGAAATGAAGATGATTACTCTTACTGAGCACCTTTGTTTAGCCATGTCGCTTACATCTTAGAAAATACTTCATCACTGTATTTCATAAAGCTGTCAGGCAAGCCAGAAGGCAAGACAGTCACTCCATTGGTACGTGGTGGCATTGTAAACGTGTTGTATCAACATTATTTAACACTTCAGAAATAGCTTGTTGCCTAAGACCTATGGGAGAATGGTGACAACAGTTTGTCACTTCATGTTTGAGTCCAAATACACTGCATGAAAACAGTGTGTCAGTACTGGAAGCCTATAAAACCATCACTGTTCAATGCACTTAGTGTTTGGCAACCTTATAGTTTCATCTTCACTAGTAAGTAAAACTAACTGATGTAATGTGGAACAGACTTTGAGAATCCCACTCCACCAGTGGGCCACGAATCCTCAAGTGTCTTCAGTTTCCCTTAATGTAAAATTATTCTACTCTCTACGTGGAATTGAGCAAACCGTTTCTGCATAAGCCTTCAACTGTACCTTAAGAAGCCTCTGCAGAGGGGGAGGGCACCCAGTACAACACTTGCTCGCATTTGTTTGTGTGGAGTGCTCACTGATGAGCTTTCTATTAAGTGTTTCCTACCCTGACAATAAATGTTTAAAATAGTTATAGCATTGGGCACATTGCAAATAGCTGTATTCAAGAGCTCAAGGTATCAAACTTGTAATGTTAGAAGGGAAATGTCAATGACTGGTGTTTTGTTCTTTTTTTTTTTTTTAAGGTGCTTGCTTGTTTCTGTAAATAATATAAAGCCTTAATCTCTTCTGGTGTAATGGAATAATATTTTAATGTGATGTTTGAATGTATATAATATATTTATAACAAAGCAGTTGGATAATACTAATCATGTCTGTCTTGTTGCTCTTCATTCATATATTCTCAGTGTTTAATATAAAATCTTGATTGCTATTCTAGGCAGCTGAGTATTTTTCAGCCTGATAGGTCTTGTTTAGGTTGACGTAGTTATTTCTTCAGTTTAGTAGGACCTTGACCCTATGGTTCACCAGACTTCAGCACCTTTCCAGAAGTGCAACTAACTGCAACAGCATTGGATGCCAAGGAAGAGCTTTGCTGCATTGGGGGGGAAAGTGTTCCCTTAGGAAATTCTGAAGTGTTTACATCCAAACATCCAATAGACATTTAAGTGGATGTAATTTGCATCTTGTTTCCTTTCTAAATGAAAGCGTAATGAAGGTCAAGCCTAAGACTAGTTGTAAACTATTAAATTCAAGCTGTACTTCCTTGAAGTGCCTGGTATAGAAGGGTTTAAGTTCTAGGTTCAGAATAACCTTGTTCTCAGTTTTTAAGTATCTGTTTCCAATGATAGACCACGTTTTAAAGGGTGGGGACTTGGCACCTCTCCTTCAGTTGAGTCTGCTCAATACTGATGGGCCTGAGCTGGCTTCTACAAATTAAAATTGCAGTTGGCACTGCGGTTACCAAATGTTTAATATGTTTAAATGATTCAAACCCTTAGGGAGAACTTCTTACCATTCCATGAAAATGTCTCCAGTTACCATAGTCAATATTGTGCATCCACCTACATTTGACAGTTGTCGTGGTTTAACCCGGCCGGCAGCTAAACACCACGCAGCCGTTCGCTCACCCTCCCCCCTCCCTCTCTGGGACGGGGGAGAGAAATGGAAAGTGAAGCCCGTGAGTTGAGATAAAGACAGTTTAATAAGACAGGAAAATAATAATAACAAAATAATAATAACAATAATAACAATAATAATATGGTGATAATAGGGAAATAATAATAATATGTACAAACAAGTGATGCACAATGCAATTGCTCACCACTCGCTGACCGATGCCCAGCCTAACCCTGAGCAGTCCGGCCCCCTTCCCCCGGCTAGCCACCCCTATATATTGTTTAGCATGACGTCAGATGGTATGGAATACCCCTTTGGCTAGTTTGGGTCACCTGTCCGGGATCTGTCCCCTCCCAGCTCTTACTGCACCCCCAGCCTGCCCGTTGGCAGGACAGAGCAAAAGGCTGAGATGTCCTTGGCTTAGTATAAGCACTGCTCTGCAACAATTAAAGCATCGGGGTGTTATCAGCACTCTTCTCATCCTAAGCCAAAACACAGCATTCCACCAGCTACTAGGAAGAAAATTAATTCTGTGCTAACTGAAACCAGGACAACAGTAAAGAATGCTTCTACTTTAGTAAGCATTTAGCTGTACACCTGTACCATTATGAGGCCAAGCAGGAGAGTGGCGCTCTGCTCTCAGAGGCCTTGAAGAAGTATGGAGGAGCCCCAGTCCGGTGAGTAGAACAGAGATTTTGGGGAAGAGCAGACAAAAAATGAGATGGTGGTGAATGAGGTTATGCCACCCTTCTAGTACAGGGCTAGTGGGCCAATGGAGGTGTCCCCATACATGGGACCTGGGCTGATGATAATTTTTTTTTTTTTTTAAAGAAAAAAAAATCTTTGTAACAATAGTTTGTTAATTTGCCTTGCCACAGATGTTACTGAGTTTCTTTGTTTACTTCTGTTTTGGAGGCATTCAAAATTTTTGTATCAAAAAAGGAAACAATCTTCATTTTGGACTTAATTTTACCTTAATTTTTGGACCTGCTGACAAACTTTTTTATAAGAACGGTTTAGTTTTCTCTGAGTACAAACCTAGGTAAAATATTACTTGGGAGTCGTTTAATACAGTAAATCTTTTAATAGAGTTTTTCTTGTTTGGTTGGATTTGGGTGTGTGGTCTGCTTTTTTTTTTTTTGTTGGTTGGTTGGTTTGTTTATTTTCCAGTAAAACCTGGAATGCATCCATTGTTCCAGAAAAGCAAAATTTGAGTTATCAACCATGCCTGTAACCATTTGCCACATGGTATGAAGACATTGGAGTTGGCTGCTCTCCTGAAAGAGAAACCAGGTGTGGGCCTGAGATCTTTCATGAGATGGCACAGAGGATCTTGAAATGCTGTTATCACCATGGTCATCTTGCCACCATGTTACATCTGTATATATCTTGCTACCATATCTGTAGTGATGTAGGTGATGTGCAGAGAATTCTGCACTGTCTCCAGCATCTGGTCCTGCTCCAACACAGAGCTGTTGTAAGCTGGGATGAGCCCTAGAGCAAGATTTCCCACAGTCATCTCAGTCAGGGTATTGCGGTGATTGTCAACATGAGAGCCCCAGGAAAGGCCTGAACTCCAGGGTCAGACACTCAACGTTTTGGAAAGGTATTTTTAGTTATTTCCTGAACCACCACTGACTTCTGAAAACTGGTCTTTGTTCATTGTCCTTGGAAATGAATTCGTGAGCCAGCTCATAAGAGATTTAGGTGCAATTTGGTCAGACAAATCTTTAGGAGTGTTTAAGTTCTTGCAGCAAATCCAACCTCCCAGGATGCATTTAAATGTGCCTTAGTCATGCCTTTACACAGCCCTAGTTTATAATCTCTATATGTAACAGCTGCATAGGCAGGTACAGGGCTGTAAGTAGAAAAGGAGACTTTACAGGTTATGGTGAGAAGTTCTGGTATTAGAGCTGAAAACCTGTTAAGCCATTTGCAGGTACTGTGGGATAGAGATGCTGTTTAGGCAGTGTAGGAACGAGTGAAATGGTTGCATTTCAGCCCTGCACTCAAACACTGGGACAGGGAGCGCTGTGAAGGTGAGTCAGAAACTGGCCCAGATCCTGCATATCCCATGCCCCCTCTGGGATAAGATATCCCTGATAAGATATATCAGGGTTTAGATATATCTGGGATAAGATATATTTGGATAAAATATCCCTGATAAGGTATATCAGGATAAAGGAGGAGTTGGTTGATGAGGACTGGGTTAAGGACCAATTAAGCAAACTGGACATCCATAAATCGATGGGTCCTGGTGGAATGCACCCGCAGGTGCTGAGGGAGCTGGCAGAAGTCATTGCTAGGCCCCTCTCCATCGTCTTTGGTAAGTCATGGGCATCAGGAGAGGTGGCTGTGGACTGGAGACTATCATCTCAGAGCATCCTCAGGCCATAGAATCATAGACTCATAAAATGGTTTGGGTTGGAAGGGTCTTTAAAGCCCACCCAGCACCTCTCCTTGTTGGCTCCTTTCCGCCTTGGAGAAGGAAGTTATCAATGCATTGCAGGAACCTCCTGGATTGCTATGCCCTGCTGTTCTGTCCCTCCAACAGATATTGGGGTGGTCCTGCATAAGGACCAGGGGCTGTGAACCTGAGGCTGCTTCTATCTATAGAGGGCCTCATCTGCTTGATCTGTGGTAGACTCCCACTATAGTGTCCCCTGTCCCTGCCCTGCCTTTATTCCTGACCTATAAGCTCTCAATAAGCTCCTCATCCATCCCCAGGTGGAGCTCCATGCACTCCATCTGCTCATCAGCATAGAGGACAACACCCCATCAATCATCACCCCTGTCTGTCCTTTCCAAAGAGCTTGTGTACTTCCAACACTTCAGTCATAGGAGCCATCCCACCACATCTCCATGATGCCAATGAGGTTGTAGCCCTGCAGGTGTGTGTACGCCTCTAACTCCTCTTGTTTATTTCTCATGCTGTGTGCATTTGCATAGAGTCATTTAAGTTGGGCCTTCAATGAGGCTTTCTGGCTGGAATTGCTTTGTGCTGTTTTTCAGGTGCTCTTCTCTGGACCTGTGGTCCTTTTCCAGGCTCTGGGCATCAAACTGGGAGGAGTGGGATGGATTGAGGTTCCTCTTGCCCAGCAACTTTAGCCCTCTCTCACCAGCTTGGCAAGCCTGTGACCAAAGATGCTCTTCTCCTCTTCTGACAGATGGACTCCCTCAGCTCCCAGCAGACCAGGTTTCTCAAAGTAAGTGGCACGGTAGCCGAAACCCTGGCTGTGCCACCAGTCCTGTGACCATCTGTTTCGCCAGATTCAACTGGTCCTTTCGATCCCCTTTCCTTTGACTGTGAGGACTGATGAAAGAATATCTGCACTCCACAGTCCCTAACTGCTGCTCCCAGGGCTCTGTAATCCTTCTTGGTACTCCTCAGGCTGTTTCTGGCTGCATTGGTGCCCACGTGAAACAACAGCAGCAGATGTCGTGGGGCATCAGCAGCAGGGCAGTCAGTGGACTGTACTAGGCTTGGTAGTCTCAGTGTCATCCCCCGATACAAGCCTCCAGTAAGCAACACCTCTCTTTAGAGAGTGCATCAATTCAGCAGATGGGTGCCTCTGTACCTCTGAGGGGAGCCATCTAATACTATCACCTGCCAGCTTTTCTTAGTTGTGCTGGCTATTCCATGGGAGCAGATTGGCTGCCTTACTCAGCTCCAGCATCTCTCCTAATTTGACAGGCCTTTCCTTTTCAGCCTGCAGAGCAGTGAAGGGGTTCTGTAAGGGCACCTCATGCTGTAGGGAAAGTCTCCTCTTCCTGCTGGTGCCTGTTATTACAAGCTTCCATCATTCTGCATTATTGGCTCCCCTCCCTTCTGTGTGTACTTGTGGGGGAGTTTTTGGCTGTTTGGCCGTGGGCTGTAGGGCCACTGCGGGCTGCACTTGGAACCAGCTAACTTGTTCTCAGCCTTTCTGATCCTGCACAGCTTTCCCACTGCCACCTGCAGCTCAGCCACCTGCTGCAAGAGATCCTCTCCTGGGCAGACCTTTTGCAGCTGCGGTGGTTTTACTGAAGTGGGCAGCCAAGCTCCACCACAGCCGCTCTCTCACTCCTCCTCCTCAAAGGGAAAGGGGGAGGAAATACGATGACAAGGGCTGAAATAACGATGGGGAGATCGCTCAGCAATTATTGTCACGGGCAAAACAGACTCGAGTAGGAAGATTAAATAAATTTATTGCCTATTACTAACAAGCTAGAGAAGTGAGAAACAAAGAAAACAAACTAAAAATACCTT